TTTGACGTGCAAATGAAATCATACGGCCTCAGGCTAGCTCTGTGATATCTTTCATCATGCCAAATTTCACCCGTGCCTGCCGCTTGATGGGACAAACTGGCATGGAACTTTCGCCCCTGGCCACCAGCACTGCTCCTCGCGCGAACCGCCAAAATGTTATTATTGCCGCCATCTGCATCCCGCGTTGCGGAACTCTCGTTTAGCGACAGCCAGAAGATTTACCATCACCCAGAAATGAAAGCATTTATTGCCACTCGGTCCATGTTAAAGACCTGATTCGTTTTCACGATCATTTTCGTCCTTTTCGGTCTGGTCTTTCGCTTCGTCTTACTCGTCTGGATCTTTTTCCCGTTTTTTTACTTTCTTTCACTGTTATCTTTCCTTCCTCCCTTCCCTTCTCTCTCGCTCTTTGATTTGTCCGTCTATATATCTATCCATCAACCTGTTTATGTTTGTATATGTCTGTCTGCCTCTGTGTCTAGCTAGATATAATTGCTCTTTTTTAACGTTCTTATAATGGAATGGTCAGTATGTTGCGATGATATGTCTTCTGTTATAGTCCTACTCCCATGAATACCTTTTCATCACCTCTCATTAGGCTGGCGTGTTTCTCTCTGTGCTCCAGCTCGCGTCTATTTTTTAAAAAAATATGTTGTATAATTATGTTTGTGCACTCTCTGTCTCTCTCTCTCTCTCTCTCTCTCTCTCTCTCTCTCTCTCTCTCTCTCTCTCTCTCTCTCTCTCTCTCTCTCTCTGTGTGTGTGTGGGTGTGTGTGTGTCTCCCTCCCTGTCTGCCTGTCTGTCTTTCTATCTATCTCTCTTTCTCTTCTCTTCTCTCTCTCCTTCATCTTCTCTCTCTCTCTCTTTCTCTCTCTCTCTGTTTCTGTCTGTCTCTCTCCCCTCCTCTCTCTCTCTCTCTTTCTCTCTCTCTCTCTCTCTCTCTCTCTCTCTCTCTCTCTCTCTCTCTCTCTCCCTCCCTCCCTCCCTCTGTCCCTCCTCTTCTTTTTTTTCTCTTTCAGGCTCTCGCACTGTATAGTTTTCAGACAATTAATACACTCTACAGAGATGAGCGCCAGAAGCCAAATACCCAATCAGATCGAAAGAAACCGTTAACCTATGCCGCTAGCCGGAAGAAATATCCGTGAACTGGTGCTGTTACCTGGTGACACGCAACTAACTAAAATCAAGCTTTTATCGAAGTGTCAAACTGGAACAATGCATAATAAGTAAAAGTTCACCGTTAGACATACGCAAAACTCGGGAGTTCGATTAACTTATTGTTCTTTTCAGTTAAGGGGTGGGGGGTGGGGGTGTCTGTTTTGTCAAGTATTTCCCTTTTTCCTCGTTGATACTGTCTCCTTCTTAGCCCCAAATGGCCTCTGGACGGTATCTTTGAAGAAACCATCTCCACAATGTTCTAAATGGTGTTGATTGTGGAGTAAAACCGGTTCTACCCACCACGTTATACTTGCAGCACCTAACGTGATCCCACTTCGTAAAAATTGCATTGTTCTGCGTGTCAAAAGGAATAATTGATATTATTTATCGTATACAGTTAGTGAAAACGATTAGTTTCGAGTAACTTCCTTTTGAGATAGTGGAGACAACTGTGGAGAAAACGTACTCGAGAGTTCCTTCCCTTGACCCTTTCCCGTGAAACTATTGGAGCATCCTCTCCTCCTGAATGGTCCTTTGGACCGTGTGGGTGATTGAGGAAAAGCTGTCGATTGTTGTGAACCCAACTAGAAACAGGACTGTGTGTGGCAGAGTTTATGTGTGTGTGTGTGTATGGAGGGAGGAGTTGTATATACAAACGTCATATAAATATGTATATATATATATGTTATATATAATAAATATATATGTATATACACGTAAGACGTTATGATACACACACGCTCACACACACGCGCGCACACACACACACACACACACACACACACACACACACACACACACACACACACACACCACACACACACACATATATATATATATATATATATATAATATATATATATATATATATATATATATATAATATTATACACACACAGGCGACAATATAAAGAAAGAACATTCTTATGATGTCATTTGGTAGTCAAAATTAATGTCTTAAATATTCACAAATTGTCTGTCTTTGGGGAATGTAGCGCCGATTCTCATATCGACATTTGGGAAATGTATCTCCCTCTTAAAATTATTGAATTCAGTATTCATGAACATCAATATTATAACGACATTAAGTTATTAAATAATTGGTTTCCGATGCCCTTACAGGCATTGCCATCTACTTTATTGTCCAAAAAAGAAAGGATTTTTTGGTCCTTGTTTTTGTTGTTGTTTTGTTTTGTTTTTTGTTGTGTTTTTTTTTTTGGGGGGGGGGGGTTTGTTTTGTTTTTGTTTTTTGGGAGGGGGGTTCTGGTGTATATTTTGAAACTATGATTATTTGCTCTGCAATTGTGGGAAGCTTGAAACTCTTTAGAAGCCTTTCTGAACTTAAAAATATTTTGTAGAAGTTATAGATTCTATCATTTCCCTGCACGCTCCCTGAAACATACGTTTATTATTATTCATGCCCATGCAATTGTCGTTTTATCGTTGGCCCTGCTCAGAAAAGATGCTAATTCGTCGATTCGACCGACGCTTAAGGGATTGTCAGCTGGGTACTGCTATTATGTTGTAGCTTGATTTCAGCCATTGGCCTACAACGTGACAATACTGTACTGGAGTTCCCGACATCATCATCATCATCATCATCATCATCATCATCATCATCATCATCATCATCATCATCGTCATCATCATCATCGTCTTCATCATCATCATTATCATCATCATCAGCATCATCATCATTGTTTGGAAAGCAGAGTAGGATGAAGAGTCTTGTTTGAATTTCAGACAAAATAACATAAAAATATAAAATGTTTAAAATGTGTTTAATATACACATCTCAACGTTTCGCCTCTTGGGCTTTCTCAGGAGCCACTGTCATCATCATCATCATCATCATCATACAATAAAATATAATGCTAGTATGTAATAATTGTTTCGATCATTGTAATGATAATAATAATAACGATGATGATAATGATAATATGCTAATGTTTATGCTGATGATGATAAAAATGATGATAATAACGATAATAATAATAATGATAATATTAATTATAATATTTATGATAATTAATAATAATAATGATGATGATGATGATGATGATGATGATGATGATGATGATGATGATGATGATGATGATGATGATGATGATTATAACGACGTATTCCGGAAGCCTTTGCATACCTGTCTGGAAACGACACCGAAACCGAAACAAAACACGGCAATAATTTTTGATGATGTAGGTGTTGTCATTCCAAATTGACGGATTCCGGTCCGGGCTCACCATTAGCTCTGTGGGCAACACGATGAGTTGCGGTACGTGCGTTTTCATGGTTCGAAGGCCAATTAATTAGGTGTTCTTGAATCTGGGTTGTTTCTGGAGATGTCAAAGATCTCCTTTCACTTTGCGCGGTTCTACTTCAGGTGGATATTAGATTGAGAAATCCTTTTAAAAAATAATTTTTAAAAAGATTGAGAAGTCTGTCTTGCTTCTTAAATAAGCAAACATACTATGTGGAAAGGGGCCGTAAACCCATGCCATGATCCAATGCATATAATTATCATTCCAGTCCGAAGGCGATGGTTGTTAAGATTCGTGTCGCAAGCGTGCCGTTTCATATCTTTGGGATTCCAGCTTTTCATCAGGAATGAAATTGTAGTAGACATTTATAATTAAACTCGTGCAGGAGGATGATTCGACGATTCTCTTATTATGCTGTCTTTCTTTCTGCTTCTCTTTAAGCGTTCCTTCATGTATTGAACAAGTAAATGTTTTCTGCCCGGAGTTTGTGCTGTAGTGGTTAGGCTCTTCGCTGTCACACTCAGGAGACCCGAGTGGGATTTTCGAGTGGGGATAATTTTTATCGCATGTCTCGGTCTTGTTATACCCCTCTCCTCCCTGAGGTTTACCCTAACAGGCGCATTAGCACCCGCATCCTAAATGATCAAAATCGTTTTCATGATTGGGGGGGGGGGGGGGGGGGTTAAAACACCCGCATTAAAAAATATACCTTTCCTGGAGGAATATTGTCGTTCTCGTGTCCATTTGCTGCAAAACTGCATCTCAGGGCTTTCAATTTCCCTGGCTCAGATATGGCGTGGCGACAAGGAAGTGTGTGTGTTTGTGTGCGTGTGTGTGTGTGTGTGTGTGTGTGTGTGTGTGTGTGTGTGTGTGTGTGTGTGTGTGTGTGTGTGTTGTTGGGGAGGTTGGTGGTATCTACCTTGAGAACCACCCCAGAAGCAATCGACCATGCTGAAAGAATGCTGCTGGCTTTGTGTTCTCCTGGGCTGGGGTCAGTTCTAAATGTCGTAACCGTTGTGGACATCCCATTGATACAAATCGCCCAGCTCTGTGTACTGGCAGGTTAGTTGTAACTTTCCGGTGTCCTGCGAGGGTGGTAGAAATGCACCAAAGGAAGATCCTGTTTCTTTTTTTCCATCTGTTATTCTAGTAAGTGTAATTATGCATTCCGGCCTTTGAGTTCCCCTGCTCTAAATGGCTGTATATGTCATTGAATAGACTTGTTTCTCTTTATTTAAATTCTTATACACGAAATGCGAGGCTTCCATGTTTCTTCCTTTTTCTGTGTGCATCGGCTTCAAACTGAAATTATGTTGAAAGCTTCAACTGAAAGCTATTTTTAAGTATGTGATCTTAGGGCATGTATGTCCTTTTAGTATTGATTCTGCCCCTGTTCATGCAGACTTCATGTAAGACAGAATTGTTGCTGTTATTATTCAATGTGTCTGTTATGTTATAGCTTTCGATAACTTCATTGTAGTCTTATATTTTAGCTAAGAAACTAGAAGTCTTGCGTCAGTCCACACTCCAAATGGGTGGTTGGAGAGAGCCACTGATAGATCCTATCTCTTTTCTTTCCCACTGTTGCTATCTGTCTTGCTTCTTCCCTGCGCTATATATGACCGTTATTGTGTCGATGTGGTACTCTTTACTCAAGATCAAGCTCAGACTAAAACTCCAGCCTCATTCCAACCAAATCCCTTCTTCTTATAATTTTCTACTAAAAAGGGCATGTGGAAGTTTTGTGAAAATGTATACCTTTATAACACAAATATCGCTCGACATGTAAACCTCTACATGGGGCGTTTCGTTAGCTCAGTTGATATATCACGGTGGACTACCGGGAAAAAACGGTCGTGGCTCGGACCCCTGACTGTGGGTTCTTGAACTTTGTGGAGTTTGAAATTGATACTTTTCCCCTTCTTATTGTTGTTTCAATCTGTCTGTTTGTCTTTCAAATTTTTTTTTCTTGAGTGATGAATTGCATTATCCTTCTCTTTACTGAAACTGAAAGATATTTCTAAACGTTCTGAACATTTTTAAAGTAACCTTGTATACGCACGGTGGAAGAATTTTAAAATACCCCACCATTCGCGTGCACTCTTTTCTTTCCTCGCCCGCTGGGACACCAAAACGTACCCGTATAGATATCTATGCTAAATAAACGTTCTTTCTGTAGCCTCCGGAGGGTTAAGGTGGAACGAAAACCCTTCCTGACCCGACTGCTGATGATGTGAAGTGAATTGAAGTGTGAGAGAGGGGGAGAAAGAAGAGTGAGAGGGAGAGAGGTTGGGGGGGGGCGGGGGAGAGTATGTGTAGATATTAGCGTAGCGTACGTTCCTGTCTTCATACTCTGTGGAGAGACTGCGGGAACAGAATGGAATTCACCAGCCTCTATTCAGAGAGCGAGGAGTGTTGAGAGCAGCGCTGGCGTACTGTTTGGTAAGCTATTACAAACTATCAGAAGCTCTCGTAGCTGAATGAGATTTTTGAGCAAATGAAAGAGGGGATACGGATTGGGATGTTTTTGAAGCTCCGTTTAGGTAGTTTGGGGGGTGGGGGTTGACTCCGATAGTTGATTTTAGGTTTGTTTGTCCCTCTTTTTATATATTCTTTCTTTTAGTTTGTATATATGCAACGGTAATGCTTGGTAATTTCAACCACCATTAGTCGTCTTTTAAGGCATACTTTAGTTGCTTGGTCATTTTTTATATTTATTTATTTATTTATTTATTTATTTATTCATTTACTTACTTCTTGTCTAAGATAAGTACGGTGACACGAGAATGATCATTTACTTCCGTTTTGAAAACCCATGATGGACCTTCGGAAAATAAAACATAAGGAACGGAAAAAAGCAGTTCAAGTAGGCGCTCTACCTGTGGCGCTCTCCAACCTCCCATTTTTATGATTTGAACTTTCGTTTTTAAATCAATAAAGTTGAGAAGCAGTACCTCTGAATATTATATTTGATTCATTTTAAGATCAAGCTTAGGAACAACTCTTGAAACACCCAGAAGTCAGGATTGCCCCCGCGGAGATTCAAACCTTAGCCGAGCGTGATAGCAAGTGAACTAAAGACCCTCTGGAAGCTTTGTGTTTTTCTCCTCGTTTTTCTTGGCGTTACATGAGATTAAATGCAAAAAGTGAACATGTTAGTGAATTACTGCTCTTGATCCTGTGTTATGGTCTACGATTTTGATATGTTTTTAATTAATGACCTCAGTAGTTTAGGCCTATCCCAGTTTGGTTCACTCGGATTGTGTTCTTCGTTTTCTATGTAACTTATTGCTTCCTCTGCTCATTCTTTGATCTGGTGTGTCAATGTTTTCATCAGTTTCTGTGGATTGTTGGAGGGTGCCTTTAGTTGGTTCTTTTTTTTTTTTTCGATCGTATAAAAAAACTCGTATATCAACTTTTTCTGTCTATATGTTTTGCTTTTTTCTCGCAACCAACACCATTTCTTAGTCGATGTGTGTACCTCTTTACTCAAACTAGATCTAGACTTTGCTGTTTTTGGCAAAATATAGTCTTTCTTGAATTAAACTGCAACGTAACATCATAAGGTGTGTAGATTTACTGTACAATTGTATTCTCTGGTCATTTTTTTGTCGTAACTATCCTTCACTTTCTTCTTGAGCATGTTTGCTGCATAGTCTATAAAAAGGAGAAAAAACAAACATGATAATGCGTTCGTATATCGAAGTCTCGTAACAAATAAATAATGGGGAGGAGAACACGTAGAGATAGACAAAGAGCACGTGAGAGAAAGGGAGGGAGAGAGAGAGAGAGAGAGAG